AACGGTGGATTATTTTTTATGAGGTGCCACAAAAAATCGTGATTTTTTCACATCTAATGAAAAAAAATTCAGATTTTAATCTTTGATTACAATGGAAATGTTGATTTTCACATAAGACACTGGGTTAAATCCTCAGTTTTAAATATTTCTTCTTTGAAAAACCAAAACGATAATTAAATTGAGAAAAAAAATTAGAATTCCAAATCTAATCGAGCTTTCTGCAATTTTTTTTTGCAGTTTTCAATAATCTTTGAATTTTCCGTAAGGGTACAGCTACTTTAAATGTTGATTCGCTGTAATCGGGGACGTAATGGTGATATGACTCAGAATGGGTTCATCATCTTGGACATTAATGGAAGGGCTTTAAAAGCGTGAGCACTCAGTACGAGATACCGGATCAAGAGTGGAGTCGTAATAGTCATGCTCTGCGACGCTGACCTTGCAGTCGAATCCTTCCAACCTCTGACCTGAACAATGTTCAATACCCAACGGTTTAGCATTACGGTATCGGATTCGGGTTAACCATCACCGGACTCATTAGGGTAATTAAGTTGCATTCACCACCGTTAATTAACGCATTATGCAAGGGACACAGGGTGTCACGTTCTGACAAACATCCAGTTATCCCGGAACCTGTGGGCATTACTAATTATGACCAATTCCTGATAATATGATAATTTTACTTCAAATTATGATTAATTGTTAAATTATTCTGGGGTTTTATGCTAATTAATTCTTTTGTTTTCAGAACCGTTTTTTTCTAATTTCATGAATAAAACAGCACTGGGAACTACTTTATGAGAATTAAATGGAAACAAAAAAAATTTGAAATTAATGTTTCAGGTTGACGCAATATTTATTTAACATGACGTCGACCCACCAGAGGTGTGACGTCGTGCAACGTCATGTGATCGTTTTAAAATTTCCATTTTTCAATCCTTCATTTCATTAAAAAAAAACAATTTGCAGAATTTTAGCATTTAATTTTTATGTCAAATTTTAATTTTCAATTTTTCATCTTTCGATTTACATATTTTTTTTACATAAATAATCAATCAAAGAAGAAGAAAAATACTATATTAGATGAAATATACTCCCACTGAAATTTCCAAAGTGTGAAATGATCATTTCTAGCGGATAAATACTGCAAAATTGAGTTATACGATATGAAAATGGTTTGTTGTCATTTGAAGTCATACCTGAAGGACATAATTCCCGGTGAACCCGTCCGTAAACTCATTAATTTCTCATCACGCTCGCATTTCCATCACCACCAGATTTATGTGAAACTGTCGTCAATATATCGCATTCCTCCCATTGTTATTGATTCTGCGTAAATACGAGTAGAATCAAAATCAAATTTCAGTTGTGTTGTCGCTATTGCGATGGACCGAATTACGGGATAATATGTCACGTCAACACATTTAGATCCCTGCGCGCATAACACAAAGAAAAAAAATCTGGTCTCCAGTAACAGTCTCTGGATTTCAATGCTCCGTGGTACTGAAATTCAGAGATAAAAAGCAATGCACTTCAGTGCACCCTAAGAAATGATTTAGTTAAATCCAATAAAGTTCATTTGAATCAATAAATAAGTTTATTGAAATAGCGCGAAATTCATTATTTTTTTATTTATATTTATACTTAAGAGAAAAATGCAAAATTTATCAGGGAATTAGATTGATACATAATTTTGAATTTCTTTTACAAAATACATGAAAATATGATTTTCTCACAGTAACAAAACTCTTCATTTGGAGGATATAAATTTGAAGTAAAAAACCCTGGGGTTTTTTAATTTTTGGAAAACCTTGAGATTCACAAATTACAGAACCTATTTCCCTCTTTAATCATGTGACGCAATATTTGGATGCCCCCGACGGTTTTTATTTAAAAAACCCAGGATTCTTGATTTCAGTACCCGCACGGAAACAAAAATTTTCTAATATGTAGACTATATTTACTTGAGAGAAGTAAATTATTTTCGATGGTGGACTGACAGCGGCGGCTGTGTGGTTACACTGATAGAACGGATTAGTTATTGTTGACGAATGGATCTTGGTTGGAGGTTAGGGTCTATTCGGTCCCACCAAATGTTCATTCGTTAATAGTTAACGAATGGATATTTGAGGAGCCTTGTTTGACTTGACTTTCGCCATTCAAGTGAACCATTCGTTAACCATTAACGAATATTCATTTGGTCATATTCAACTCTACCATTCGTTAATAGTTAACGAATTTTGTTTGGAATAAATGAATATTCTATCAGTGTAGAGTGTGGGAGTACCATGCGGGAGACCCGGGTTCGATTCCCGGCTAGGAAGCCAAAAATTTGTGACACTCTATTTTCAATGGTTTAACTTCCAGAATGTTTGCAGTTCACAGAACTCGAATAAATTCTCATTTATCGCTATCGTTGCGCATTATGCCACGAATATATTACATATCGAAATATTGCAACTGCATAACAAAAAAATCATGAAAACAATAAATACTTGACGATTTACGATTCTTCTACGCGATTTGAGTGAGTCCATTTCCGACGAAATCATACTTGAGTACAAGAATATTTTAAAGCATGAGACCTTTCTCGGGCCACGTGAGTTGAGATGCCTGGGAGAATTAAACAATTTAAGAGTTGAAAGAATCGAAATTACTTGTCTCAAGAAAATATATTTCAGGCATTAGAAATTATCTTTCTCAGTACAACGGCTTTTAATTCCAGGACTGGAAACCAGAAAGTTTTTCTGTCTGTGAGCGTTCACGTAAATTTTCCCCTCAATTGCAGGAAAAATACCTGTGGCCCGGATGTCCTGTCGAATCAGCGGTCGAAATTGACGGGATTCGATTATATGCAGATTCGAGCTCTATTCCAACACAACTCGGAAAGCTTGGGGATCTTCCATTGACCGCCCGATGCTTTCGGAATTCGTGGGAAAATTCCATTCGATGGTGGCCTGGAGTTGCCTCTTCCAATACACCTCAACTGTCGATGTTGAGAGCCACATCCCTGCGTCAATAAAGTTCATTCTACGAACGGTGTAATCTCATTGGAAGACGGCTCATTCGAAGGTCACCATTTTGTGCGGGGTTTACGATATTGGTTGTAGTCCTGATTCGAATCTCAATTTGGGATAACGAAATGACAGACTTTCGTGGAAGAACCAAAGGGTGATGCCACTCAACCTGATTCTAGTGCAGAGTTAATTTACTTATTGTTAGTGCACTTATCAAAACAAAGATATTTCGAAAAGTGAAGTACAATAGTATCGAAGTCTGATCTTTATGAAAATGTGGCAGGTTGAATTCCTTTGAAAGCAGATAAGATTTCCAGTACGTTGTTTTTTCAGTAGATATGAAGCATAATTTAGCATCTGTAAATGCTCCGGTCATATGACAATAACTGTTTTTGTAGAAACATGAGCTGAAGATTTGAGACATCAAGTGATCCTCAATTAATTGAACATTCAAGAATATGTTTAGCTCAATTTTCCTGATTAATATGAATTTTCGTGGAATAATTGAACCGAAATTTACAATTTCCAATGAATTTTCAATAACGAAAGTCCTCGAAATTTGAGTGAAGCTTTGTGATAAAAATTTCAAAGAAGTCTGCCAGAAATTCTAGCAAAAAATTTTTACCTGTGTAATAAAGAAAAAGAATTATACATAAACATTTTTTAAGTATCCATCATATCCATATCAATTTCACTCCCGTTTCCAACCCCCTGACTTACCTAATCACAACTGTAGTTGCTCTTTCGTAATGTTTCCAACTAACAACCGAAAACTTTTACCCCAATGAAACACCAGTTCGCCTTACATGCCCACAACATTCCCTAGAAATCTCTAAAGGTATTGGCAACTCAATTTCACAGCCCCTAACTTTGTGAAACAATGATGAATCCTTCTGAGTTGTTTGGTTCGATCGGTCTACGACAATTCGCGAGAAATCGCCCCTCCGGACCAGTTACATACAACACTTTGTTCTGAACAACAATCAGTAAAAATCCTGGTCATCAATTAAATTGATTCACATCCTGGTTCGGCCATTGTTGCAGTGAAAACGAACGAGTGCGATGTAACTACACAATAAATGATTCAGCACTACATTCGCGGAGACTCCCCTGAGTTATAATGCTTTTGTTCGTTAATCTCCTTTGGTGCTCATTTGCGTTCATTGTTCTCGTTGAAAGCCATTTCGTAAATTTCGAAAAGCAAAATACATGGAGTTTTCCCAGCCCTACCAATCAATGCAACGAGTTAAATTGCAAGTAATTGGATCGTTAACACCTCCCGAAGCTCTAATTCCTAACTGAAGCCATAGGAGTTGTAGCATTTCCTGTGAATTGAGAACTTCTCACCTTTTGCGTGAACAACTTCAAGTTTGGAAATTCAGTAACATGACCGTATTGCCTTTCCCCGTTATCCACAACTAGGTTCACATCAAGTCACTTGGCCTTGAGAACTTGGCTGTACACATGGCGAATTTCATTTGCCATCATTCGAGGACGCAGCGTTTGGCTGCGTCGTCTTCCTTCATTACACATGATAAATAGAACTTACAGCTGCTATAGATCTCCAACTACTGATGAGGAAACCAAGGCCTAGTTCTCCTAAGAATCAAGCACTGTCATCGAAAGATCATTGAAGACGAACTTGATCATATTTGAACTTCTGATAGTAGAATATGAATCCTCCAAGCGGTCGATGATGCCTTCGTCCACCAGAATATCCAACATACGTAAAATATCTGCACCAATCACTGATAACTTATCATCCAATGCTGCTTCATCAACAACGCCATCAGCAACACCCGTATTTTGATGGTGCCGTCTTCCTTTCCTGATTGCCATTCGTGGTTAGCACCTCTAGCAGCTGTAGACTACACAGCTTTGACCACAGGTGATTCTCACAATCGGAGATGTCACTTCCTGCATGCTTCTGCACTGATAACCTACTCCAATGGTAATCTACCTCTCTCCGATCACGACTTTGGAATTGATCCCGCAGGGTTAAAGCCTGCGCGTAGGAACCCCCAACAAGCGCGCGCAGTTCCTACCATCCCCAATCCACAAGGATCAGCCCTCCAAGTCACTCGACCAAAACAAATCAGTCGAGCCAGCCATGAAGTAACCACCGGGACGTGTGTCCTCTCGCCCCTCGTACGCGCACTCAATATGAGTCCTGGATTGGGCCACGATTCACTAGGAAGTCACAATAACACATTCGTTGGTAAGCTACTCCGATCTCCAACCGAGCATTTCGGTGATTCTTGTTCTGAATGTGAATGTTGTTTAAGCTACGGCTGGTCTATGTCTATGGCAACAGCCTCAGCACGTCCTATTTCAACTGGCGAACTGCTGTTTCGCCCTGTCCTACTCAGCACCTTCATCGAAGAAGGGAATACTCTTCATGCATTCACTCCTCATAATCGGTAAGTCACCATTGAGATGATGCCAAGACAGGCTTTCACGATCGTAAACTTGTCTGCCACATGATCACAAATGAATGGCGCTGTTAACAGAACCAATTTTTACCCTTTTCCTCGCAGGTTTCATACTGCTCTCCGGATGGGCTTGGCACGTCATCTGCGCTCCTGACATATTCTCCTGGAACTTCTCATTCCTTCTGCTTAACATCTGTCAACTAGTCTACATCGTTTATCAGATGCGACCGGTGAGGTTCGATCCGGAGCTCGAGGAGGTCTATCACACCCTCTTCTTCCCCTTCAAGGTAAGGACATAATCAAATATGAATAAATCGCTCTGAACGGAATCCAGTGAACTTGGACCCCCTAGGTATCACGGATGCAGTTTAAAAGACTGGTGTCTCCGGAGTTCGCAACAATAATGTCACTCCACGCCGGCGAAGCCTACGCAATGCAAAACTTGACACGCACTGATAGACTAGGTCTCTTGCTGAGTGGAAAAGTCAATGTTCTGAGTGAAACTAATTTCCTTCATCCAATACTGCCATGTGAATTCCTAGATTCGCCGGAGTTTGAGAGCTCTCGAGCGTCCGTTGATGATAAGTTCAAAGTGAGTTGTCATGTATTTTTAATAGGTGGTTGCTTCATCATTCGAGTCATTGAGTGAAACAAGAAAATAGTATTTTGTGTTGGTAGTGCGTAAAGTTTTACTTTTTCGCACGCATGGAGAACACAGTCTATTTTTTTGGAATGAGATCGAACGCGCGCTCCGATTCATCGGACCTTCTATCGTCGTCAATTCTATATTCTAATACAATTCGAACTAAATATCGAACAATTTTAGTGAACAATAAGAAATATTTCTTCTCTCCTCTTCATTATTATAGAGAATAGAGAATGCTTGGAGAGAAAATCTGTTGATAATTTAGGATGTGGATCACGGGATAGTTGTAAAATCAGTGAATCATACTAAATCACTGTCGAATGGTGACATTTCGTTTGTAATTCACGCTTCCTCTGGCTCTCGACAGCTCTAGTATGTTGTCACCGTAAAATAATCGTAACATTACTAATGAGTCTCAAGAACATAACAACACAATTGAATCGACGGAGCAGCAGTAGTAAACTTTAATCCAACAAACCGGGAACGCGATGACCAATGTCGAACTTCACGATTTTTAAGATATTGACAATATGTTGATAATATGCAACTATTGAAAATTACCTGGATTTTAGTAATCGCGTTAGTCTTCCAGGAACGTACCAGAACTGTAGTAGAAATTTCAATAGGGGAAGGTAGGGCAAAACGGACCAGGCGGACAAAACGGAACCCTAGAGCAAAACGGACCACTGACAGAAAGTGAATAATTTTTTGATTTTTTTGATAGTTTTTGCTTCCGAAGGGGAGGGTTTTGCCTTCCCGGTCTGTTTTGTCCCACCTTCTCCTAATAATGGGGAACATTGCACTGATTTGTTTACAATTATCGTTAATTTTGAGTATAATTTTTACTCATTCTTCAAAATCAAAGTATCAAAACGTCATCGAATATGATTTCGGTTAAAATAACTGGAATTTCATTTAGGTTTCGATTGTCGCAGCAAGTTCATGCAGATACTTATACTGGCAGAGATCAGCACTGGAGTATCTCCTGGTGAAAGAGGCATATCTAGCGACTGTGTTGACGACCCTCGTTGCGAGGGACATTGCAACCAAGTTATATGCCATGAATAGTAAGGTACCAGATGACTCGTTAATTAATGATGATCATGACTGAGAATGTTATGTTTGGAGGGTAATCAATAGTTTGGAGGTAATTTCTAGATAGTCACGGATAAAGGATCGCACCTGGACATAAGATTGCCATCGATAAGTGCTGGCATCGGTGTCAGTTCGGAGTACCGGAGTCCACGGGCCTCGAGGCAAGCGCTGATTCGGCGGAAAGATGCGAAACACGCTGCGAATAATGGTGAGTGGATTCATTGGTGAAGTGGTAGAATTAGATGAGTCAATTTTGATGAAGGGTGCATGTGGAGTGGACGGGAGAATTGATTCTTGATCCAGGAGCAGATTGAGGTTCGTAAAGATCATGAGGGTTAAATAAGAGTCATAAGAAGAGTCGTGAAGGACAGGTGGGCGTCATAATTACACCTCATGACCCTTATGTTCCGGGTCATGATAAAAATCTAGAGAAAAATCCAAATCAATATTTCCTTTCGTGCATTTTCTTATTTTTGAAGGAGCAACGTAGCTCGCCGCAATTAGCAATATTTCCTTTTGTACATTTTATTATTTTCCGATGCGACTAAATCCTGCATTTTTATTGCTTACTATATTTAGAGAGCAAATATTTCCCACGTTATTTTTCACAGTAACTCGTTTTTCACTTCATAATAGTATCTCGATCATTCCCGCAATAGTCCTTCAGATCACTAATCTTTCGTCGCTGCAATAATCGCCACCGTGTCTCCGATTTCCTTACTCATTAGCCATCGACACAATTTCATTCTCTCGGTACTTGTGCCATTTAGCATATAAGGACAACCCTGTCAAATTTTAAATACAGTCCATTTTAATCTATCGTCCCACCAAAATAATTTTTAGTAAGTCCTGTTCTTCAGTTTCACGTTATTTAGTCTTCAATCAACAATTGTATATATTTTTCGAATTTCAATAGAATAAATAAACTTAGTGTTCAGTGAAAATGTTGTATGATTAAAGACTAAATTAACCCATTCGCCAATTCTAACATACTGGAACGAAAATTAATACAGAAAATTGATAGAGGAAGTTGTCCTTTAGTCAGTAGAAATGTCGAATGCAAATAAGGAAAATTGACACGCTGAGTCAATTTCAATGATTGCAATGACTTCATTGATGGCTCACCAAGCGCGCTAATTTCAATGTTAAAGTAACTCTACCCTTCGGACGGGCTACGCTGTATTTTTGGATATTTTCAGTTTTTAAAATTTTCAACTAAATTGCATGGAAAAAGTTTGGAAAAATTCATAGCCAGTCACTATTATCTAAATTAAATTTCGCAAAATAATGATATTTTTTCAAACATTTCCCTTTTATAAATAAATAATAAAACTTGTTTGCAAAACAGTAGATTATTTTTTATGAGATGTCCAAAAAATTCATGATTTTTTCCCATCTAATTGAAAAAAATTCAGATTTTAATCTTTGATAACAATGGAAATGTTGAGTTTCACATTAGACACTGGGTTAAATCCTGATTTTTAAACATTTCTTCTTTGAAAAACCAAAACGATAATTAAATTGAAACAAAAATTAGAATTCCGAATCTAATCGAGTTTTCTGCAATTTTTTTTCAGTTTTCAATAATCTTTGAATTTATCGTAAGGGTAAAGCTGCTTTAACAGTCCCTCCATATCAGCTTACCGAATTAATAGTCTTTTCACTCGATGATAAATTTCCTTGAAGTAGGTGGCGCTAAACCAAAAGATCGACCAGTCAATAACCTCACAAAACTGGGCGCCCCAAACATGGAACCACTACCAGAACTGCCGTCTTGCGATGATTTAGCATCGAGTGGAGTCGAAAGCTGGCTCGACTCCTCAAGCAAATACCACAGCTGCGAAATCGTCGATGAGGAGTGAATCGAGAACATCAGGAATACGAGATAACTGTTTCATTCACACTGTCTTCCTGATTATTTTTTTACACGATTCAGCCGGTGAACATTGCGGCGTCACCGGAGTGTTGCACATTTTTAATGTTAAACGCAATGTTGTGCATCTTTTATCACTTCTGTCAGTTGATCAATGATATATACAGATTATAGCTATGTTTTGAATTTGTACCACCACGAGTTTTGATTGAACTCGATCCTTAGTAGAGAGTATACACAATTGTATTATTCCTGTTGTAATAAACGTTTGAATAATAAACGATGGAATTATTTCTGGGTGTTTTGCGGGGGTTATTAGATATATTATGGTTATTTTTTCATTCACTTAAAAAAAATTGAATTTATCTATTTTATTTGAATAAATAAATTGATTAATATTGAAGGAAAATAAAACCCATATAATTTAATTGTGGTACACTGTTAAAAATAATGTTTTCGAGAGGTCTTAATTTAAGACATTAGAAAAAAAAATGTCTTGAAATAAGATGTTTTTTCAGTTTAAAAACAAAAAACGCATGAATATAATTCATAAAAAAAAACTTCCTTTGGCAAATTCTATTGAATTTCTATTAAAATTCTATGAGAATTCTTTCGATGTTTTCTTTTAAAATTTTTGAGCCATGTTTTAGAGGAGGCTATACAATTTTACGTATAATTTTGCTGAAAGATCTTTGGTAGAAAAACGTCAATAGAATTTTATTTTTCTACAGAAATTCTTGAACCTGATTTTTGTAAGTTTTTCATCATGAATCATAAATTTGAAATAAAAAATACTCGAGTACGACGCCGAGAATGCCTACAATACGTATCTTAATGTCTCAATTTTTTAAAAATGGACAAAATAGTTTCAGAAACTAATTATTCGAGCATAACGGAGAATAAATTAATGAATAATGATTGCATAATTTTCAAAAAACTATTTTCTTGGCACAAGTAAGACTTGTTTGAGACCTTTGTCGTTTTTCTCTCAGTGTATGAATCGAATATCACAATACAAATATAGTCGCATGAAAATATTCATGAAAAAGTCAATAAACAATTAACCCCCGCATCAATCGTCTCACACTTCCCTCGCTAACAAAATGCAGCCCGAGCTAATGAATAAATCTCGCTGAAGTACTCCATTTCACGAACAAAACAGGAAGTTTCCGAATTCCCTGGCAAAATGTACGCCCGTAGATTGCCATCCCCCTGCTATTATCATAAGTGACATACAAGCTCGTATAGAACGGGCTGCAGTAATATAATAGGAGCGTGTTACCCAAACATATTTTCCAGGGCTTTTCAGTCTCAACGCGCCGACGAATCGGTGTGTTTGCACGCTGGTGAGGCACTTACGCCCAAAATGTGGCTGACATCCAAAGCGAGTGGGGGTGGGGAAGAGGGCGAGTCGTGTCGGGCTGTTTCTACTTGCGTTTGTCTGTTTTATAATAAAACAATTGATTGAGGAATTAACTTGATAGAAATTAAAAACTACATGTTAGTGAATTCACTACCTATTGGAGTCTTCACTTTAATCAAGAAACATTTATTTTCCATTAAAAAAATTATTCGAATAAATCAATGAATGTTTTTGAATTTTTCAATGAATTCAAAAACAACTTGAACTAATTTTTTCAAATAGTGAAAGTATGCCCTTAAAGTCGCTCTGGAATATTATATTTTCATAGAATGTCTAGAAAACATAACAAACTATGAAAATATCACATTTCATGCATTTATTTACCAATTATTTCCATTTCCATTATTTCCATCGTATCGATCCCTAACAATCAGCATTTTCCAATCATTACTCTTTCCTTGCGAATTATCATCAAGAGCTGTTATGAAAAAAGGAGAGGAGAAAAGGCAGGACAAAAATTCTTAGTGGAGGGTAGGGCAAAAATGGACCCCTGGGGCAAAATGGACCACTGACAGAAAATTGATAATTTTTTGATTTTTTTGATAATTTTGCCTTCCGAATGTAAGGAAAAACAAAAATTCAAAATCATTTGTTTCAGGTGATTAGCAAATCTGATCAAATTGCGGTTCAACGACACTTCTTGTCTATAAAACCCCTCTGACGGTTATAGTCCTAAAACTCACTTTTAATTCAACACATTCAGTGTTCCCGATTATTGGAATATGGGTAGGAACTATTCGAAATTAGTTGAAAATATTTTATAGAAAACTTGGATCTTTATTAAGAGGTTTTCACGCCTCCTCTCGTTATGAGAGAATGACTTTTGAGGAAAACTGCAGTACTCCTTCGCCTCTGGCCTCTGGCCCTTATGGTTCTCCTTTATGACCGTTTTCGTGAGAGAGTTCCTTGTTCTTTTTATTATGGTTCATATGAGCAGAGATAGGCATAATCATAAATTATCATTACCATTAATTTCATAATACTCAATCAAGTAATAGAACATAACAATTTTTAATTATTAAATTAACCACCAGTTAAATATCTGAATTTCGAATTATTTTACCAATCAATAATCGAATTTGAAAGAATGACGATTATTTGATAATTTCTAATATTTTTTGAAAAAATTTCCAATTATTTACCTAATAGTTATTGAAAAAAAATTAAATTCTCAATTATTTATTATTTTCCAAGTTCCAATGATAAACGAATGAATTCAGTTATTTGGGGAAATAATACTCTTAATATTTCTGAAATAATGATTGATGCCGATCACTGCCAATGAGGCATAGGCCCATGCGTTTGTATATATAAACACCTGGAGAGAAAGAATCCAGAAATTTGTGACGCAGTAGAGGAATAAAAAATAGAATAAATATTACTTACTTCAATACCGATTTGAAGGAAAGAAAAAAAATGACCAATTTTCTGTCAGCGATCCGTTTTACCCTCCCGGTCCGTTTTACCCTACCCTCCCCTAATAATAAATACAAGAAATCTTGGCTGACCACAGCAACTATTAATTGGACCCATAAATTTGCGCGAGTTGCTTCGCGACAAAAAAACTCTGAACAGGCCAAAAAGTATGAAATACCGTGAATTCTGTTCTGACAGTGGTCCAATGTGAAATGTAACAGCGATTATGCTTGTCCGGCATCGGATATCCTTCTCCGGGCTAGAAAACGTTTTTTGTCATTGGTCGCAGGGGAGGGGGAGGGGCCGCGGGAGCGACGGAGATACCCGCGATTTGTAATCGAGCGACTGCGTTTAGATGTATCCGAACGGGAAAGAGAATGGAGTAATGCACCGCCATTAATAATGACGCGGGAAAAAAATTTGTGACGCTGTGCAGTTATTTCGGGTACTTTATGAATTATATACTGAGAGAATTGTTGATGGGGTAAATTCTCCGGGGATTCTTCAGACCGTTGTGCCTCCACCTTTTGCGATGCTATCTGCATTGTTCATAATTGGAATTTGGGGAGTTGTTGTTGCGCGGCGTCAAAGGGAAATTGCGCGGCGTTCAACGCGAAATTCCTCAGCGTGGCTTTTTAATTCGTAATTGGGGAGTGTGCTCTGCGCGTGGCACTCAATTGCATTAATTCCGTGTGAAAATTGCAATTTTTGCAACGTGAATGAGTGACCATATTAAAATATTCTAAATATTCAGTAGTAATACCCCAAGAGCTTCGAAATTATCGGATATTTCCTGATAGCTTCGTTACAAACAAATCAACTGATAGAATTGTTGATGGGGTGAATTCTCCGGGGATTCTTCGGACCATTGTGCCTCCACCTTTTGGGATGCTATCTGCATTGTTCATAATTGGAATTTGGGGAGTTGTTGTTCCGCGGCGTTCAACGCGGAATTCCTCAGCGTTGCTTTTTAATTCGTAATTGGGGAGTGTGCTCTGCGCGTGGCACTCAATTGCATTAATTCCGTGTGAAAATTGCAATTTTTGCGACGTGAATGAGTGACCATATTGAAATATTCTAAATATTCTGCAGTAATACCCCAAGAGCTTCAAAATTTTCGGGTATTTCCCGGTAGCTTCGTTGCAAACAAATGAGGGTGTCAAGTTTTGCAGGTTAAAAAATTCCGAGCGCTTCCGCGAGGGATTTTTCTGCCAAACTTGGCACGATGGTTTGTTTGCAGGGGAGCTTGGGGGAAATACCCGATTAATTTTGAATCTCGAGGAGTATTTGTCGGATTATTTTTCCCAATCGGATTCTGGCCAAGCAGAGTGCAGTGGACACCATTAGGAGGTGAATTGGGGAAGATTTGAACAAATTATGTTAGTAGAATAACCCGATTTCCATAGACTATCAAAAATAAGATTCTATCTGAAATGAACCGAAAAAATGAAGAGCTACTGCGAAATATTCAGGTAAAAAAAATGAAGAACTACTGCGAAATATTCAAAGGCTAGGAGGAAATATCCGAAATAAAACTGTCGGATAGCCTCAAATGGTAGCTCTGACTGGTCGAAATCCGATTGGGAAAAATAATCTATTTAATTCTGAGGGTTTTTTTATCTCAAGAAAAAAATTCCTCCATTCGATAAAATCTTCACAGATAATTTTACATAATTTATTATTATTATTTATCCTGAGCACTTCAATTTTTTCGTTCCGCGTAGGGCTCTCAATTGTTCAATATCGTTATTTCTTGTTATTCATTGGGTTTAGACGAAGCGATCTGGAGGAAGACACGAAAGCAATAAAGAAAAACAATGAGGAGGAAGGGGGCAAGAGGTATCGCAATCTACGTAAAGGAGTCAATTTCCATCGCATTCGCTCGGCCAGAGATCCAATCGCTTTATTAATCCAATCACGTTTCCGCGGATTGAACCCAATAGTTCTGAAATGCATTGAAAGTTTTATTTTTTCTTCTATCTGGGATGGATTCCAATCGCCTTGGGGGCTCTTTAATTGACTCAATAATGTACAAGTCTTGTCATTGTAAAAAATTTATGAGCGAATATAAAGTGTTGATCTTGACTATTTGTGCAGTATACTCAATTATCCAATTGAATGGTTCAACTTTATGTGCATCAGAAATGAAAACTGTTTCCGTCGAAATAACAAAATTGACCTTTCCACCTTTAGCACAATCATCCTGTGAGTCATGTAAAAATGATATTCGAAAGAAATTTCAGATACGATGTGAGAGATGAATCATTTCTTTTCTGGAAAATAATGGAGATATCATCATCATCAACTTCAAAGAATTTTTAATTAAATCTCTCTATATTATAAAAACATAACTTGACTTTTTGTGAGAAAAATTAGGTACTCGAAATTAAGACTCTACAATTGAGGGTCACGAAGATCAAAATAATGATCATAAGGGTCAG